AGAGATTAAAATAAATCAATGAGCTTCCATCATGTGGAACTGATTTGGGCCATTTCATGGCTGATCTTCATTTGCTGGCCAGGTCTTTTCTGTGTGTCTTTAAAGCCATCTGAAATATCACATGTACACCAAATTAATGCCACATAAATTGAGTAGATAATAAATGCTAATTTATACAATTAATGTTAACCCATCACCTGTTGAAATCAGGCCTTAACCTGCTAGAATCAGGCCATAACCTGCTAAGAATGGGGCCTAAACCCACTAGAATTGGGCCTTAACCTGCTAGAATCAGACCTAAACCTGCTAGAATGGGGCCTAAACCCACTAGAATTGGGCCTTAACCCTGCTAGAATCAGGCCTAACCTGCTAGAATGGGGCCTAAATCCCTAGAATTGGGCCTTAACCTGCAAGAATCAGGCCTAAACCTACTAGAATGGGGCCTAAACCCACTAGAATTGGGCCTTAACCTGCTAGCATTGGGCCCTAAGCTACTAGAAACTCGCTTTAACCTGTTGGGCTTGAATCAGGTCATTACCTGATAGATTCGGGCCTTAACCTGCTAGAATTGGGCCTTTACCCACTAGGACCGAGCCTTAAACTGCTAGAATTGGACCTTTACCGGCTAGAATGTGACGTAAACTTGCTAGAAACCCCACTTTAATCTACTGGAATCAGGCCTTAAACTGTGCATCTGTGCAGTCTGACCAGACTCTATACTGTAGGCAAACTAACTTGAAATTTTCATCTTGATAAATCCAAAAATGAGACTTGACAATTCTCAAGATGGAAGCTGGAAAAGTCCATTTAAGAAATTCCGCAGGTAAAGGATAAAATTGAATCCATCTACACAATCATGTCGTTCTCCAACTTTGTATAAATCATATTTTAGATACAGAAAGTTTTAACCAACCTCTCCTTTCCTCATGATTTATCTTGATTATTTCCTGTTGCCTAAAATTCCACCTCCCACTCCATGGTTGGAATACCATTTTCCTACTTTCTTCCACCCTTATACCTCCCCACAACTTCCTACACTGTTTAAGTGTAAGCTTTAACCCCAAAACATGCAAAAGTAGGAATATTGTAATAAATTATATATGTTATGTGACTTTAAACAAGTAAGTATAACCTGTTAGTCAGACAAGGACCATGCTGTATTGTTCTTACTTCACTAAGAGGAATGATGAAATAAACAAGAGCTGTCGGTAGGACAGCATGCTCGACTATTCTTAGTGCTTGATAGTAAAAAAATGCCTGATACAGTTACCTCCTCCTGTTTACAGGTTGGGGTCATGATGGTGAACAAGTGTGCAAAGTTTCAAAGCCATATGTCAATGGACTTTGAAAATATTTGAACTATTACAAAAACTTTAACGTAAATTCTAAGTCGAAAAAGGGGCATAATTCTGTCAAAATGCTTGATAGAGTTACCTCCTCCTGTTTACAGGTTGGGGTCATGATGTTGAACAAGTATGCAAAGTTTCAAAGCCATATGTCAATGGACTTTGAAAATATTTGAACTATTACAAAAACTTTAACGTAAATTCTAAGTCGAAAAAGGGGCATAATTCTGTCAAAATGCTTAATAGAGTTACCTCCTGCTGTCTACAGGTTGGGGTCATGATGTTGAACAAGTGTGCAAAGTTTCAAAGCCATATGTCAATGGACTTTGAAAATATTTGAACTATTACAAAAACTTTAACGTAAATTCTAAGTCGAAAAAAGGGGCATAATTCTGTCAAAATGCTTGATAGAGTTACCTCCTCCTGTCTACAGGTTGGGGTCATGATGTTGAACAAGTGTGCAAAGTTTCAAAGCCATATGTCAATGGACTTTGAAAATATTTGAACTATTACAAAAACTTTAACGTAAATTCTAAGTCGAAAAAAGGGGCATAATTCTGTCAAAATACTTGATAGAGTTACCTCCTCCTGTCTACAGGTTGGGGTCATGATGGTGAACAAGTGTGCAAAGTTTCAAAGCCATATGTCAATGGACTTTGAAAATATTTGAACTATTACAAAAAACTTTAACGTAAATTCTAAGTCGAAAAAGGGGCATAATTCTGTCAAAATACTTGATAGAGTTACCTCCTCCTGTCTACTGGTTGGGGTCATGATGGTGAACAAGTGTGCAAAGTTTCAAAGCCATATGTCAATGGACTTTGAAAATATTTGAACTATTACAAAAACTTTAACGTAAATTCTAAGTCGAAAAAAGGGGCATAATTCTTGTCAAAATACTTGATAGAGTTACCTCCTCCTGTCTACAGGTTGGGGTCATGATGGTGAACAAGTGTGCAAAGTTTCAAAGCCATATGTCAATGGACTTTGAAAATATTTGAACTATTACAAAAACTTTAACGTAAATTCTAAGTCGAAAAGGGGCATAATTCTGTCAAAATACTTGATAGAGTTACCTCCTCCTGTCTACAGGTTGGGGTCATGATGGTGAACAAGTGTGCAAAGTTTCAAAGCCATATGTCAATGGACTTTGAAAATATTTGAACTATTACAAAAACTTTAACGTAAATTCTAAGTCGAAAAAAGGGGCATAATTCTGTCAAAATGCTTGATAGAGTTACCTCCTCCTGTCTACAGGTTGGGGTCATGATGGTGAACAAGTGTGCAAAGTTTCAAAGCCATATGTCAATGGACTTTGAAAATATTTGAACTATTACAAAAACTTTAACATAAGTGGTTACGCCGACGCCGACGCTCGGGTGACTGCAATAGCTCTACTTATTCTTATCGAATAGTCGAGCTAAAAACTATGTGAAAGTGACCATAAAGAAGCAAATGACCTACAAGACTTGAGAAATATTAACTTTTGAATATCTGTAGTGTAGCTGACTAACATCTTATCCAGAAAATTTCCAAATTAAACATTAATTTATAATTTAGTCATAATCCATGTTAAGTTATGGGTCATTGATAGAAAACCTTAAAAATATGATTGTGAATTAAGTTTCAGTTGAATATCTTTAATGGATATAAGGGATATAAAAGTGCATACAACAACAGAAGTTAACACCTGATAGAGTAGGATAGCCTGCTACAAACCAAACACTATTCTCGAAATAATTATGGCAAAAATACCAGAGTACTTAAACTCAAAATATGACACTTATTTATATCTATGACAATTCTATATCAAATATTTTTCTGCAATTTTCAATTTCAAGATTAATTTGACATAAATCATCTAGTCTGGAAATTTACTTACGTCAGCTATTTCAACTTTCCTTTCCCAACTTTTTACTTTTTTCTGTATTTCGTACAAATCTGCTTTCTCGGAAACATACTCCATCACTTCAGGTACACGATAGTCCGCTAACTGTTGACGTAATTTACGATTTCTCTTTTCAGCTTTGGACCGCTCCTGCAAAAAAGAATGACTTGAATTTCAAACTTCACACCTTCATAGGTTTTATATTTCCTAAAGTACATTTTCTATAATCGATGTAAATTTTATATTTAATTAATCATTTCAAGTTAGTTCAAATACCAGTTTTCAATATGTATATTGTAAGAAATGGTAATTTTGTATAATGCAGACAAAACTTATATATTATATAAAAAGTTCTAATAATGTATAATCATTTCTGAAAACATTTTATAAACTTTGCAAAGCCTAACAATCTTATCAGTGTATTTAATCAAAAATCAAAGTTATGAGAATTTTACTTACAGCTTCAACTACTGTAGTTTCGGCATCAATTCTCGTCAATAAATCAGCCCTCGATGTAATCTCAGACTTTAACCTCTCAGACTCTAGTGTCAATGTTGATAATTTTTTCTGTAATATTTGAAGTTCTTATAAAATATACAGGTACAAAAGAAATTTAAATGCTATAAGTTCAAATATACAAAGAGAGGAAATAGTACATGTACTTATTTATCTACTGGTGTCAAAGACTTTGTAAAAATTGCAAATTATATATCAATAAGATAAATAGGAGAAAAAAGACAAATTAAAAATAAGACACAAATTAGAAAAAAAAAAAAAACAGAGCCTCTTATTTCTCGTCAAATGTGTATGGGTATATTCATATATACATCTTCTATATTTAATTCTTGTATCACATGCTTTAATACAACAAGACAGAAATAAAATGTGTATCACACTAGAGTGTGACCCGCAATGAGGTATATATACATGTATATAGTCATATAATTACCTTGTATGAGTTGAGTACTTGTATTGTGGTACCAGCCATCTGTTTTAGTCTCAACAAGTCCTGGTTCCTCTCATCTATTTTCTCTAAATACTGCTGGTTCTCAATTCTCAGCTGATTAAAATCGACTTCATGTAACACTTCACCCATCTCCTCTTTCTGTAAAGTCATGTTTCATCAATAAAATTACGATAGTTTTAGTTTACTTCCTAAAATATGATGTGGCTAAAGTTGTTGTTGTTGTTGTTTTTACACTTTTATGCAGCACATCATTGGCAAATGACATCACTTATAATGCATCATAAATGTAAACACTCTGTGACTTAATATTTCTTTTTTTTTGGAACCACGTTTAAGGCCGTCTTAATATTTCTTAATTAATTACTCTATAGATCAACTTAATCATGTTTATTAAATCTACTGAATATCCTGTCCTATAAATCTACTTAATCACATTCTACAAATCTACTAAAATCACTTGATACATGATTTATAGTTTTTCAAACATTGTTTGTATCTCAGATTTTACTTAAAATCAACTGAATTGTAAAGAAATACAACAAATATATCAAATATCACAAACCTGTTTTAGTTGAAGATGTAGCTTTTTCTTCTGAACTTTCAAAGTAGAATTTTTCAATCTTAACTTTTCAATCAAAGTATCCTGAAAGAAATAGTTAAACAAATTAAAACACTTGTTTTTAATCATTATACATGTAGTTACAAATATGAACACAATTAAGTAACTTACAAATTTTCATGATGATAAACATGAAAAAGGGTTAATAACTTAATAAACATGATGATAATTATAATATGTATAAATTAAACTTAAGCCATTAATCTATGATATCTTAGAAAATAAAACAAATATAAAACAGATTAGAAACATAAAATAATGTAAGGTTAAAAAGAAACATAATTTAATGTTAGGTTTAGAGAAACATAATTTAATGTTAGGTTTAGAGAAACATAATATAATGTTAGGTTAAAGACAAATTACCAATTTAATCACAGGAGTAAATTATAGTGTATATAGTATCATACCCTGGATCGTATTTTATCATCAAAGTATCTAACAATCTTTTCAGCTACAACTTTTCCAGACGACTGGTTGACTGCACCTTTCATTATATCTCTGTCAAACTCATATGACTCTTTCTTAGTTTCTGCTAGTCTAAGATCAGCTTCCTCCATTATTGCCTGTAGAATTGATAGAAACTTTGTTAACTTAATAACATTCAAAATATATAGATATCTTAAAATTCTAGTATGTTAACTTACTCAGTCACAATTTAATAAACTATTAAAAACTTTACATCTGACTTTAAAAAGAAAAGTAAACATTGCATGCACTGTTTTAATTTATCTCTTACTTTTTGAAATGTTTATTGTAATGCTACAATATATTGAAAATCAAAGCAGTGAAAGATTTACTAGTTAATATAATATGTCAAATTAGTAACTGTCTGTCATACAATTATTTTCTAAACAACATAAAGAAAGATATACCTTGTATAGATCAAGGACTTTTTCAGACTCTTCCTTCAGTTTATCAATCTCTTCTCTCAGTTCATCAATTTCTCTTTGGGCAATGTCACATTTTTGTTCTGCTGTGAGCCGCAGGGATTTATCAATGTTACTACTGCGGGACTTGGACCTTTTTCTATCAACTCTACGAACAAGATCTTGTGAAGACTGTGATGGTGTGGCACCAGGGCCAGCTGCTGCTCCAGCTCCATCCTTTGGTTCAACACGCTTGAGGTATTTCTCAAACATTTGCGTTTCTGTAAGAAGGACTTCATTGGCACGCCTGTAATTTTAGATGGCACATTTGTTTTTCCTCAAACACAAATTGATAATTATTAAACACCAACACTGCTTAAATTTATACAATAGTACTGCTAAAGCTTTATAAGCTCACTATTAACTAAATATTACTAACTAAAACACTTGTGATACAAACATTATACAAGATAAGCCCAAGTCCTCAGACTGCAGGTCAAACACACTAAAATACAAGAGGGCCATGATGGCCCTGGGGTCGCTCACCTGAACATAGGCCCCCAGGACCTGGCCAGTTTAAACCAAAGGGCTTTTATTTGAACAAACTTGAGAGACACCCATTAGAAGATATTTCATGATGTTAAGTTTTTACTGTACACAAATAATGAATAACAATGACTTTTCCCCCCTCCCCCTGGCAGGGCCAATTTTAACCCAAGGGCTTTTATTTGAACAAACTTGGTAGACACCCATTAGAACATGTTTCATGCTAAATATCTTAGCTCTAGCTGTTTGGGTTCGTTAAAAGAAGATTTTTAAGTATTTAATTGCTATATGCAATATAGGGAAAATCAATGACCCCCTAGGGCGGGGCCAATTTTGACCCAAGGGCTTTTATTTGAAAAAACTTGGTATACATCCATTAGAACCTGTTTCATGCTAAATATCTTAGCTCTAGCTCTTTGGGTTCTTTAATAGAAGATTTTTAACTTTTTACTATTTGTATATAGGGAAAATCAATGACCCCTGGGACGGGGCCAATTTTGACCCCAGGGCTTTTATTTGAACAAAAATTTGGTAGACACCCATTAGAACATGTTTCATGCTAAATATCTTAGCTCTAGCTCTTTGGGTTCTTTAAAAGAATTTTTTTAAAGATTTTACTATATGCATATAGGGAAAATCAATGACCCCCTGGGGCGGGGCCAATTTTGACCCAATGGCTTTTAATTGAACAAACTTGGTAGACACTGATAAGAAGATGTTTCATGCTTAATATCTTAGCTCTAGCTCTTTGGGTTCTTTAAGAGAAGATTTTTTAAAGTTTTTACTATTATGCATATAGGGAAAATCAATGACCCCCTGGGGCGGGGCCAATTTTGACCCCAGGGCTTTTATTTGAACAAACATGGTAGACATCCATTAGAACATGTTTCATGCCAAATATCTAAGCTCTAGCTCTTTGGAATTTTTAGAAGAAGATTTTTTTAAGTTTTTACTATATGCATATAAGGAAAATCAATGACCCCCTGGGGCGGGGCCAATTTTGACCCCAGGGCTTTTATTTGAACAATCTTGGTAGACACTCATTAGAAGATGTTTCATGCTTAATATCTTAGGTCTAGCTCTTTGGGTTCTTTAAAAGAAGATTTTTTTAAGTTTTTACTATATGCATATAGGGAAAATCAATGACCCCCTGGGGCGGGGCCAATTTTGACCCCAGGGCTTTTATTTGAACAATCTTGGTAGACACTCACTAGAAGATGTTTCATGCCAAATATTTTAGCTCTAGCTCTGTGGGTTTTCTAGAAGAAGATGTTTAAAGTTTTTTCTTTTGGTTGCCATGGTAACCAGAGTTCTGCATGGAATGGAATTCTTTGAACAACTTTGTTAAGGCTTCACACAAGGAACATTCCTGTGAAGTTTCATTATGATCTGCCTTATGGTTTCAGAGAAGATGTCGTTTGAAAAGTGTGAATGGACAACGGACGACGTACGACGGACGACAGACGACGGACGAAGAGTGATCCTAAAAGCTCACCCTGAGCATATGCTCAGGTGAGCTAATAAAACTTACTGATGGTCAGACAGTTGGGGATCAATTCTCTTGTGAATTTGGAAGTGAAGATTTGAAAATGAGGAAGTGTTGCATTTCACAATAGCAGAATTTCAAGTTTAATATTTATTATCATAATAATTTAATTATAATTATATAAATAAAGTAGATACACAAAACAGTGAAAAAAGCAACAAATACTGTGTAAGCTGGCTTAAATTAAGCCATTTAAGATATAATTAAAGTTATAAATCATCAACAAGGTAGAGTTTGTTCAATAACATTTAATAAAATTATGCCATTGACAGCAAGGTAAAACATACAAATTAATCATAGATGGTAAAATAGGAGCACATTGTACAATAAACAACATTTATATTTTTAATTTTACATCCAATCCCTGCTGCTTATATAAAAAAAAGAAGAAAAGAAATACATGAAATATTGGTTTTTATTAAATTTTCATTTTGCTACACCCCTCTCCCTAACATCACACCATGGCCATCCCTTGTGTTACAAGAAATACAGGTTATTCATAACAACTTCAGACTATCATAAATTCTACTCCTTTTCTACAACAGTATACCACTGGAACCACCTACCCTCTGCAGTTGCCCTATTCCTTACTCAGAGCAGTTTAGTGCAGCCATAGCTTGCAATGAACATGTAGTTTTTCAGCCTCCTGTTTTTTACATTTTTAATATTCTTCTTTTATCCTTATTCTAAACAACTACTTTTAACTTTCTTGCGATTTTGATGCGCAGTCCTGTATATGTACCTGAGAGGGGTTTCACATTTATGGAAGATAGATAGCTGGCTTATCCATGATAAATATACATAGGCAAGAAACAATCTAGCCCAATAAATTGTAACCCAGCGTTTTTAATCATGTATCTACAGGATACTGCTTAACAATCAATTCTGATTATGACTAGCAGGCGCGTTGTCAGGGAACTGTTAATACATGACATTATTTATATATGCAAATTTAAAAGGATAAAAGAGTAAAAGTCATATCTACGTCATAATATGACAGTCAACCTTTGCGACAAACGCCTTAATTTTTTTAGATTCAAAATAATATTCAGGATTGAAAAAAAAAGTTAAATAGACATTTATAGTAGATCTACCGCTACCTGGTAAATATCAACATCTATATAAATCTACAGTCAAAGGACATAATTATTCCCCACCCCTGACATTCGGACTATGCACTATATACATGTTCCCTTAGAATTTAAGCTGTGCGCTATAAATAGCCAATAGTATTATTAATTTAAACAGGGTCAAAGTTCAATCAGTCTTTGGTGACGTAATATACAGCTCAATAATTCTTCAGCATTGTTTACAAGTTTATTTCATGGGTGTTTTTAAAAATGGCCCTGAAAATAAAAGAATTAAGAAGAGATGTACAAGAATTGATTATCAATAGTTATCAGGAGAATAAAAATCAGTCAGAGTTGTCAAGATTACTGGGCATTCCTAGATCAACAATTAAAAGTGTAGTAAAGAAATATCAACAGTATGGAAGTGTTGAAAATCGTAGTGGGAGTGGTAGGAAAAAATTATTTACGGAACGAGACAGAAAAAAACTTTCAGTAAGTGGATACTTAGTGATGAAAGTCAGGTGGTCATCTGGAAAAATAATATTTATATTCGGAGGAAAGATGACAAAAAATATAAACCTCACTTAGTTTGTCCCGCTCCCAGGGCTAAGCTTAGTGTTATGGTCTGAGGATGTGTATGCTGTGGGGGTATCAGAACTTTGACTTCTGTTGAGGTTAATATAATGCACAGAAATATTTAGATGTGTTAGACAATAATTTATGGCCACTTATTGCAAGGCATTTTGGTAATAATGACTATGTGTTCCAGGATGACAATGCCCCCGTACAAATGATGTAACTACAACATCATGGCCAGCATACTCTCCTGACTTAAATATAGTAGAAAATATTTGGTTACAAAGAAACGACGATTGAAACCCTGTGTAAGTTACATACATACACGCGAACAGCTGATTGCCGAAATTTCACATATATGTCGGTCAAAAGCTATACATAGCTTATGTTTTGTAAAATGTTATATATGTATACCGACAATAAATAAATTTTGATTTGATTTGATTTGATGGGAAAATATGTCTAAAGCGTGCACAAGGTCATTATAGAACAATTCCACATAGAATTAAAGAAGTAACAAGAATGAAACGAAATATTGAGGTAAGATGATTACTTATGATCCTATGACCATCTCCTTTATATTGCTTAAGATTGCGTAATTGGCCACCATTTTGAAAGTGGCGAATAATTATGTCCTTTGACTGTAATAGCAATAAAATTGGTAGTCAAGGTCTTGCAGTCTGCAGTCTAAATATTAATACTAGGAGTGTTTTACCACTTCTTAGTCCTGCTTCGAGATATTTTTACTTTTTGGCAAAGCAACTGTAACAAGCCACTAACGTGTAATATATTGCCTTCATAATTTATTGGACTAACCGCTTCCCTGCTTATTTCTCTCCAACTTTCTACATCTACATTGTACGTCGGCGCAATCACACTTGATTATGACGCGACGGGTGGTGCTAGGTCAAGAAAAAGAAATATACAGGAAGTGACCGTAGCGCACCACCGGAAATTTATAATTTCACTCGCTAATAGATCTATCTATATTTATTTATTTATACATTTTAGGAACATAGCACAAGATACATAATATAAAATCATACAGTTAAGAGATAACATAAATAAATCATATATATAAAATGAGATCATAAAACAGCATAAAAGAGCACACTTTTGTCATAAAAAATAAGAGGTACTATGCACCTATGGATAGCCCATTAAGCTAAATGCTTATTTCCAATGGGGTCCATAGAAATAAAAAAAACTAACATAATTTTAACCCCTTCCCCCCCCCTAAAAAAACAAACAAACATATTTTGTACTTAAAAATTTACCGAGATCCCGTATACACATATACTGACTCTTAATGTTAATGCGCAGTCTTCGAGAAATTTGTGTTAGGCCTATATAAAGATGTTTAAAAGAATTCTAATGTCTAAATGACAGGATGTCTGGATGTCATAAACAGATAATAAAAAAAAACAATCATGACAATGGTTCCCACTTACTGCGGTTCAATCAATATAAAATAAACAATCAAGCACAAATATATACAGGAAAAACTTACTGTGTGTCTTCAACAAGTTGATATAATTGTTCATCTGTTAAATCCTGTAACGGATCGTCTCCAGCCTCATTACTTGTATCGTGAGTATCAACACTTTCCGTGTCCGCCATCTTGCTTGTTGTGTTGCTATTGACAACATCCGGGTTCTTCAGTATACGATTCGTACTAATTATATGTCGTGCTTTTGTATATTCGTACCATTATTCAATAGAAAAGTATTTAAATCGGTAAATATCGTAATTTTTCAGAAGTTTTGAAAAGAAATATGGTCTTATTAAATTTTTCTAAATTTCAGTATTGATTTTTTAAATAATATTTTATGTACGTTGACATTGAACATTATTATTATTTATTAGGGTCTAATAAATTTTAAAGACCCTTATAGAATACCAGTAATTGGTAGTTAATTAATAGCAACCAAACACAAATTGGAAGCAAATATTTAAATGCCATTTGATTTGATGAACATAAATTCTTTCTATTTTACCCGCACAATATTCAGTGTATGTACAAAAAAGTCTGTCAGTTTGAAAGATGGTGACGTACTCAATTGAATATAAATGTACGTGATGTTAAAATAGGAACTAGTTAAGGGTTATTCTTAATCAACATCGAGTTGAAAAATTTGACATACAACAATTTGATAACAATTTTCTCGTGCAATATGTGCGAAACAAGGGTATGAGCCTAGTTCAAACTGACTGAAATTGAAACCAACTGCATTCCAGCATAATTCCAGAGAAATGAGCTTGAGCAAACCTATTGCCTGCTCAAGACAAGAATTCTTCCTTATTTTCAATCTGTCATCTGTGTGTAAAGTATGCTCTGAATTAAAAAAAAAAGTGTGCGAGTGTATACTGCAATCTTATAGCATCTGACAGCATCATATCCTGAAACAATTTATAAATGTCAGTCAACATATTACTACTAAAATAGGACTATTCGTATTACTGTAAACCACCACTTGTTAAATTATGCTCCACACAAGTGAGTCTAGTGGTGGTTGTGATAGTTTACTCTCTGATCAGGAATTGACCAGAGCACAGTCAGCCACCGTATCGTTCCTGGGTAAGCTGTCAATCTGTTCACCAGTACTAGTTTCCTTAACTTTCGCAAGGAACTGATAACTTCTGTACATACCAGGGCATAGGTACAATACGAATGACCGAAGAAAGAACTTCATGATCAATTTGAACAAGTGACCTGCGCCGTCCAAGAATCGAACCAGGGTCACCCGATTCAGTCAAACGCTCTACCAGTAGTACATGTACGTACGGCTTACAAGTGATTCTATGTGCAGTTGATATCTTTTATAGCTAACTTTGTGTTTATTTACATCGTCAGATTTGCCTTCTAATTTGATAATTCCAGATTGGAATGGGATTTAATTTAAATATTAATTAAGATACCTTTAAAAATTATAAAACAGTTTTTATTATTATTTTATATTGCTTAGAGTATTGTTGCATGCACAAAATAAATGCTGAAAGATTAAAAACCCACTTAAAGTATACTCAGTCAAAATAAAAAGTACCCATTTTATAATCGTGTTCACACAAGCCTAGCTAATGTAAGATGTACACATAATGTTGACCGTACACGCAGTGAACCATGTGTTCCCATAATAAAGAAATTTAAGTAGTTTGGCACGTGCGCTTCGTGTGGCACATATTCATATCCGGTGTCAGTATCGGACTACACAGACTTTTTCACTAACCGTCACAACTCAAAAAATTGTGTTGAAACAAGTCTAAAAAATGCCAAGGGTAAATAATGAGGAACGAAACCAAGCTATTTTCTTGCAGTACCTACGTAACAGGCGTCTTACTGCAGCAGCAACTGGGCGACAGTTTGGTATTCATCCACAGACTGTCCGAAATCGGTTGAGACAGAACGTTCAGCCTGTTCGTACGTACCGACCATACGTCAGTCAAATTCTCACTCAACGTTGTCGAACTGCAAGGCTGGATTGGTTCCGCCGTCACCTGAGCATCCGACGTTCTGATTGGGATTTGATTTTCCGACGAAAGTCTGTTGAACCCGAGCCATGCCGACGGACGTGAACCAGATTATCGCCGTCGGGAGTGTTTGTTTGCTGTTGTGTGCGTCATTGAGCTGGACCGTTTCGGAGAAGATTCAGTCTTAGTGTGGGGTGGAATAATGGGAGGTATCAAGAATCGCTTAATCGTTATTAATGGAAACAGTTATGCTCATTGTGAAAGCTCTTCATTTCATTCAGTTACATGGTCCAAATGTCACCATTATGCACGATAATGCCCGTCCACATACAGCCGCAATAACTAACAAATGTCAATGTATTAGACAGGCCTGCAAATGGTCCTAACCCGTTGAATACATTTGGGACGTGTAAGAGCCTCGCATTCGAAGAAATCATGCAATACACTGTAAATGACCTTGCAGCACGGGCAAATTTATACAGCCTATGACAACAGCATTCTCCACCATATTACAATGATCTTATTCTGGGACAAAACCAAAATAACTTTTGTCTATTTCTCCACTTTTATTAAATGTATAAAAAGTTTACAGTAAATGAATGTAATGTCATACATAAACAAATCTATGACTGAACGTTGATGTATTGAACGTTGTTGTGTTGATAAAATATGTGTTACAGAAAAGCACAATATCTACACAACATCAATACAAGTATAATAAAATCAGTACATCAGGCAGACATTGGTGTAGCATAGGCTTGTATACAAGCAGAAATAATGAAGTTGTGGTTATGAAATTTGGGGTTATATATAAATATTGCACATTGCTATACTCAAACTAGAAATGTGTCATCATGCCACGGATGCCCCCGCATGCAGCCACAATTTCAGATGGTGCATTAATTTGTTTTTTCATTTTAAGTTCAAAGCCCTTAAAACTTTTCAATGTTAACACAAACCATTTCCATACAACGTTCAAGGCACTGAAATTATTCAGTCTTAACCTTTAGAAAAAGCATATTGCATATTTGTAGCCAAAATAATGGCTAAAAGAATGAGTGCTGAAACTGAAAGTTCAAAATTTTTCCAACATTCAAGAAAGATAAGTTTGTCTAAAATCATTGAACCATGACCATATTCAAACTTAAACTGCTTATTCCTAAGATGTATCTATATTATTTTCAAAGTGAAAGGGACATAACTCTGCCAAAAAACCATCATACCATGACCAAATTCCAACTTGACCTGCCCATTCCTTTGACATATCCATATGTCAAATTAAAATTGAATATGTAACACTGTTAGGTAGATAATGAACAGAAACTGTAAATTTCATATTATTTTCAAAGTAAAAGGGGCATTACTCTGCCAAAAATCATTGAACCATGACCATATTCGAACTTGGCCTGGGCATTCCAAAAATATATCCATATGTCAAATTAGAGTTGAATGTGTTGTACTGTTGGGGAGATAATAAACGGAAACTGAAAATTTCATATTACTTTCAAAGTGAAAGGGGCATAACTCTGCCAAAAATCATCAAACCATGACCAAATTTGAACTTGACCTGCGCATTCAATTGACGCATCCATATGTCACGTTTGAGTTGAATGTGTTGTACCTTGAGGGAGATAATGAACGGAAACTGAAAATTTCATATTATTTTCAAAGTAAAAGGGGCATAACTCTGCCAAAATTCATCGAACCACGACCAAATTTGAACTTGACCTGCGCATTCCTTTGACGCATCATTATGTCACGTTTGAGTTGAATGTGTTGTACCTTGAGGGAGATAATGAACGGAAACTGAAAATTTAATATTATTTTCAAAGTGAAAGGGGCATAACTCTGCCAAAAATCATCGAACCATGACCAAATTCGAACTTGACCTGTATTTTCTCATGACATATCCATATGTCAAGTTTGAGTTGATTGTGTTGTACCGTTGGGGAGATAATGAACGGAAACTGAAAATTTCATATTATTTTCAAAGTAAAAGGGGCATAACTCTGCCAAAAATCATCGAACCATAACCAAATTCGAACTTGACCTGTATTTTCTCATAACATATCCATATGTCAAGTTTGAGTTGAATGTGTCTAACCGTTCTTGAGATAATGAACGGAAACTGAAATTTCATATTATTTTCAAAGTAAAAGGGGCATAACTCTGCCAAAAATCATCGAACCATGACCAAATTCGAACTTGACCTGTATTTTCTCATGACATATCCATATGTCAAATTTGAGTTGAATGTGCCCAACCGTTCTTAAGATAATGAACGGAAACTGATGATGACGGAATGACAGAATGACGGAAGGACGGAAGGACGGAATGACGGAACAGGGTAACACTATATGCCCCGGCCATTACATGGCGGGGGCATAAAAATGTAGTTATAATGTTAAGTGTTTGTACATGAAACATTTAGAATATAGAGTTATTTAAGTCTGTATTTCAGATCTTTCGACAACTTTTGCCATATTGGAAATTTTGCTGGGAAAATAAACATAATAATTACATTAAATTCATTACAGAATAGAGCAAATAAAAAAAAACAATTTTTGTTAGCATTAAAAAGACTATCATGAAATTTTGTGACAGGGGATACCTAAGACTGGTGGGAAGTTTTGGTTGATTTAAGGACATAAATCATGACTTTATGGACACTTATATAATATATATGATAGACAATATCTCCAGTGTTTATAAATCCCAGAACAAAATAATGAAAATATATGTTTCTCTACTAACTGCATTTATACTTTAAGATAAAATGAGGGTTATACATAATACAGCAATCATCTCATGATTTGCATGGAGTTCACATGAACATACAAAATGATTAAAATATGAATACAAGTTAATAATGAATGAAATGATATAAATATCAGTTTTGTTTATATACAAAAGATAATACTATGTTACATAATTAGTTCATTTTCTTTCCATTAAAAAGCTTATATGTACTAGTATTACATTGCTATTTCAGAACAAAAATAATTAACTTTATTTTCTTTAATTATCATCATAATTGTCCGCTCTTGAGAAAGTAAAAAATGAAAATTTAGAAGATAAAAACTTGTTGGAAGTTCAAACATGTACCCTGTCTTTTACATGATTATAAAACAAAGTAAAATATAAACACGAGTATACATGACCTCATACAGTTTAGATGTTACATGCAGTAAAAACTTA